AAGAGGCCGGCCAGCGCCAGCTGCTTCGCCTCGCCCTCCTCGCGCGGCTCCTGCTTGATCACCAGCGGCCGCAGCGCTGACGCCCCGACGCGCTCGTACAGGGGCTCCAGCCTGCTGTCCAGGTAGCCGGCCGCCGAGCAGCCGTAGCTGGGCGGGGGGCCGTGCGCGCCCCCAGGCATAACAGCGCCTTCGGGGCCCACGGGGGCTCCCGGGTAGTCAAAGTCGCCGCCGCCGCCTCCCACCGGGGCCGCGGCCGCCTTGGCCTTCTCCTGCTGCCGGCTGTGCTGGAACAGGTCGGCTAGGAACTCGTCGTTGAAGGCGGCCGGGTCGATGTAGGCGCTGATGTCGATGGACGTCTCGTGTTCGCAGATGCCGCCCAGCGGCTCCGGGGCGGCAGGTGGGGCGGGGGGCTGCGCGGGGCCCGCGCCCCGGAGAAAGCCGTAGGCGGCGCTGCTGGGCGCGTGCTGTGGGCTCTGAAGGTGGCTGCTCATCGGGGTCCGCGGCTCCGCCTCGTAGAAGTCGGCCGACTCCATGGGAGAGCTAGAGTCCTCCCGGCATGGCGAGCCTCGGCGGCCTCCAGGCTGCGCGGGGCACCGACGCTGCCACCGCCCACCGGGAGCCCCTACTTGCTTGCGCCCGCGCAGCTCCGGGTCGCGAATGGCCTGGCCCGCGCGGGCCCGCATTTATATCGGGGCAGCTGTCGCCCTCTAGTGTCTTACCATCGGCGACGGCGAGTGGCGCCTCCTGGGTCTTAGGGCCTGCCTTTTAGGGAAGCCCGTGAGCGGGGCTAGAGCGCAGCGCAGGCGGCAGTGGGCGCGACGAAACGCCCACTGGCCCCTGAGCCGCGAGCGGAACTGTGACCCGCACGCGGTGCCCCAGCCTCAGCCGAGTTGTCGTCTCCACGCACACGTGGTCGGTGGCGCCCCCTCCCCCCCTTTTCTAGCCTCCCCAAGACACCCACTTCCAGCCAAGGGCTGGGGATCCCGAGAGCACCCAGCCGCCGCACAGGGGGTTGGTGGAGTGCAAGTCTCGGTCTCCAAGCTACTGTGGCGCCGGCTCGCTTTGAAAGCTAGAACCGGTCTCGTCCGGGAACGGGGTTTCTGGAAGGCGGCGACGTGGAGAAGGAGCCGGGGTGGGGG